TTTTTTTTTTTTTTTTTGTAGTCTCCTGCTGCAGTTGCTGCTGCTGCTGCTGCTGCTGCTGCTGTTCTGTCTCTCTCCGGATCGGGTCTCCGCTTGCGGCCCCACAGCAGCAGCAGCAGCAGCAGCAGCAGAAGGAATAACGCAGAAGAAAGGTCTCCTTCTTTTGTTTTTTATTTATATTTCTCTGTTCTTCTTGCTGCTCTTCTTGCTGCTCTCCCCGCTGCTCCTGCTGCAGCAGCTTCTGCTGCTGTTGCTGCTGCTGCTGCAGAGCTGCGTGTACACCCGAGAACAAGGGGGAACACCTTCTGCACTGTCTCCTGTTTTATTTATTTTTTTTTTATATAATAAAAGGAATATTTATTTTATTAATTAATTAATTATTCTTCTTCTTCCTTTATTCCTCCCTGCAGCAGCAGCAGCAGCAGCAGCAGCAGGCAGCAGCGGTTCGCTCAGCAGCGAGGCAGGCAGTGTAGTCAAGGGGGGCCCCCTGACAGGTAGAGGATGGGGGGGCCCCTACATCAGCATCAGCGGCAGCAGCAGCAGCAGCAGCAGCGGCTGCTGCTGTTCAGGTGTATAGGCACCTATTGCTTAATAAAAAGCAGCTTATTATTAGCTGTTTTTTTGTGTCTATTCATGCAAACTGTCTCCTTGGAGGTACCTGATGAGGGGGCCCCCCCTGTACTTGCTGCTGCTGCTGCTGCTGCTGCAGCAGCAGCAGCAGCAGCCGTCACTGGTGCAGCAGCAGCAGCAACCAGTACTAATAATTCCCCTATACAAACCTTTAGGGTATTAACCTGCTCAGGGGCCCCGCTGCAGGACCTAGCAGCAAGCGTGTCTCCTGCTGCTCCTGCTGCTGCTCCTGCTGCTCCTGCTGCTCCTGCTGCTGCAGCAACACCAACTGCAGCAGAAGTTTGTCTGCATATAAGGGGACGCAAAGAGGAGACAGGAGACAGTCCTACCCCTACAGCAGCAGCAGCAGCAGACTACGAAGACACAGCAGCAAATGATAAATGTACCATGTTGTGTATAGGGGGCCCCTCCTTGGGGGCCCCCAGCAGCAGCAGGAGCAGCCGGAACAGCAGCAGGAGCCGAAAAAACAGCAGCCGCAGCAGCAGCAGGAGCATTAGCCGCAGCAGCAGCAGCAGCAGCAGCAGCAGCAGCAGCAGCCCGTCTCCTGTGTCTCCTCCTTCAGACCCTGAGGGTTTATTACCTTCGGGTGTCTCCTCATCTTCTTATCCTTTGCTGCAGCAGAAGGAGCAGCAGCAGCAGGAGGATCTACAAGAGGAGCATCAGCAGCAGCAGCAGCAGCAGGAGCAGCAGGAGGAGGAAGAGAAGCAGCAAGTGCAGCAGGAATTACTGCAGCAGCTGCTGCAGCAAGAGACAGTATTAGCAGCAATAGCAAGAGCAGCAATACCCCAATGGAGGGAAGAGAAGGAGAAGAAAAATATATCTATAATTAAATTAACAGGAGGATTAAGTAATAAATTATATTTAATTAGTCTAAACCCTAAACCCTTATTAAAAATAAACCCTAACCCTAAACCCTCACAAACCCTAATTACTCAGGCCCTACTTCGGGTGTATGGACACCAAGAGGGAAAAACCCTTTTTAATCCATCAACAGAGAGACAATTATTTATTCAATTAGGCAAAGAAGGAATTGCTCCTAAATGTATTGCTGAATTCGAGGTAGGGTTTAGGGTTTATGAGGGTTTATGAGGGTTTATGAGGGTTTATAAGGGTTTATGAGGGTTTATAAGGGTTTATGAGGGTTTATGAGGGTTTAGGGTTTACGGGAAAGGGGATGAGGGTTTACAGATGACGTGGCGGGTTTTAGGGTTTAGGGTTTGTATTTATTTATAAGGGAGGATGATCTATGTGTTGTTTATGAGGGTTTAGGGTTTACTAGGGTTTATTAGGGTTTATTAGGGTTTAGGGTTTATTAGGGTTTATGAGGGTTTATGCAGGGAGGAAGAATAGAAGAATATATAGATGGATCTCCGCTAACAACAGAAGATCTAACAGATGTACAAACCCTAGAGGAGGCAGTCAAAGCTGTAAGCATAATTAGGGTTTAGGGTTTAGGGTTTATTAGGGTTTAGGGTTTATTAGGGTTTAGGGTTTTAGGAATTAGGGTTTAGGCTTTAGGGTTTAGGGTTTAGGGTTTATGTTGCTGCAGATTGTCTCCTTCCATGCCGTACCAATTCCTTCCTTCCTTCCTACCAATTGCCCTCTTAGGCAGATATTCAACGTCAGCAGCAGCAGCAGCAGCAGCAGCAGCAGCAGCAGCAGCAGTAGCAGCAGTAGCAGCAGCAGCACCAGTCATCTGAGAAGCCGCAGCAGCAGCGAGCACCAGCATCACCACCACGAGCACCATGACCACGACCATCATCACACCAGCAGCAGCAGCAGCAGCAGCAGCAGCAGCAGCAGCAGCAGCAGCAGCAGCAGGGTCGATGATGTATCTGGTGAGTGCAGCTGCTGCATATGCCGTTTACGTTCATGGGGTACTAAGGCTAATGATACCCTCAAGGAATTACTAGAGGGGGCCCCCCCTGTGGGGGCCCCCGAGTCAGGGGGCCCCCCCCATCTAGAGGGGCCCCCAGAGGAGGAGGGGGCCCCCCATATGGGGCCCCCAGGAGCCTCTTCCTTAGCATCGTCTGAGGGTGGTGTAGCAGTAGTATTAGGGGGCCCCCATGAGGGTACAGTAGAGGGTACAGACAAGAAGGAGAAGGAGGAGGAGGAGAAGGAGGAGGAGGGGGCCCCCAAGGAGGAAGAAGAGGAAGAAGAAAGGGAAGGGGGCCCCCATGAGGGTTTATTAATAAACCCTTTATTAAGAAAAGAATTGGAGGGTTTAGGGTTTAGTGAATATATAAGAGAAGCACAAACCCTAATAAATAAAATTAAATATCTTGCTGCTGCTGATGTAGTATATCTGCAGCAACTGCAGCAGGAAATATTACAACAGCAGCAGCAGCAGCAGCAGCAGCAACAGGAGCAGCAAGAAGGAGACAATATATTATTAATAAATAAACAAGAAAAGGAGACAATAATAAATAAAGGGTTATTATTTTTATCAGGGTTTTATCCTGTATTAAGTCATAATGATTACCAAGAGAATAATATACTCAAGGTAACCAACAGCAGCAGCAGCAGCAGCAGCAGCAGCAGCAGCAGCAGCAGCAAGTGTAGCAGCAAGTGTAGCAGCAAGTGTAGCAACAGCAGCAGCAGCAGTAAGTGTGGGGTGTATGTGTGTGTGTGTCTGCTGCAGAGTATCCATTCTTTTCTTATATAGAGAAGAATAAAGCCCCAAGGGAGGTGCAGATACACCTAATTAGGGTTTATTTATTGCATGCAATAAAAGAAAAAAAATTAAATAAATTAAATAATTTATTAATTAATCAAGAAATTATACAGAGATTCGCCAATGCAGTAAGTATACAACAATATATCCTAAACCCTAAACCCTAAACCCTAATTTATAAATCCTCATAATTATATACACAGGCAAAAATACAAAGAAATAGGGAAACATTATAAAAATTAGGGTTTAGGGTTTAGGGTTTAGGGTTTAGGGTTTAGGGTTTAGGGTTTTTTATGTACAGGTGGACCATATGATGTTGGCTTCCCATCTGATGTGGGGGTTCTGGTCAATAGTTAGGTGAGCTAAACCCTAAACCCTAAACCCTAATTGCTTAACCCTAAACCCTAATTCTTGTGTAAACCCTAAACCCTAACTCTTTGCCGACCCTGTTCTAAACCCTAAACCCTAAACCCTCGTGCATGCTAGGGTTTGCATGCATGCATTTATACAGGATGAAGGTCCCTGAAGACCCCAATGAGTTCTCCTACCTAGAGTATGCTAAAACGAGGTGAGGGTTTAGGGTTTAGGGTTTAGGGTTTAGGGCTTATGCTGATGGTCTTGTTAGTGTTTAGGGTTTACGTCCGTGTAAACCCTAAACCCCATGTCCAACATTTTTGTAGGGAAGGGTTTATTAGGGTTTGAGAGATTTATTAGGGTTTAGGGTTTATTAGGGTTTAGGGTTTATGAGGGTTTAGGGTTTAGGGTTTGTATTTTTTTTTTTGTAGGCTGCGGCTGTACACCGAGAAGAAGCGCGAGTTAGAGGCTCGAGGAATGTTTTAAGGAAGAATTCTTTTATTATTTATTTATTTATTTATTTATTTATTTATTTATTTATTTATTTATTTATTTATTTATTTATTTATTTTTGCTGCATGCAATCAACGGGGCTGCATGCATGCATGTATGCAAGCAAAGAATTGGGGCTGCATGCATGCAATAAACTGTTTGGTAGTATTGCTGCTATGCAGAAAAAAAAGAGGGGTTTAAGGAGACAGTTCCTGTGTAAACCCTAAATTAGGGTTTAGGGTTTAGGGTTTACACATGCAGTTGTTTGTCATTGTTTGTATCTTGGTGTCAATACGTATGATTGTCACTATGGCTAAGAAAACCCTCGGCCGCTAAACCCTAAACCCTAATTTAGGGTTTACAAGTCTTGCAGTAAACAGACGCAGTGCCTTATAAGGGTTTTGCATCACCCCTGTTATTCCCTACAGCAGTATACAAGGGTTTAGGGTTTATAAGCTAGGGTTTAGGGTTTAGGGTTTAGCGACTAGGGTTTAGGTAATTGCTATAAATAAGGTGGGTATTGTCTAGATATTAGGGTTTAGGGTTTTGTTTGTGTACTAGTAGGGTTTATTGTATTATTACAATATAAGAATTAGGGTTTAGGGTTTAGGGTTTAGGGTTTAAAATTCCCCATAATCACGAGACCCTAGCGAATGGGGGCCCCTAGGGTTTGGGGCCTCATAGACTTCCCCTTCAGGGGATAATTGGAGGGGGCCCCCCCCCTGTAGGGGGCCCCCCCCCTGTAGGGGGCCCCCCCCTTGATGATTATTTTCTGTATTTGTTGTTGTTACCCATAAAGGATTATAAATAAAGAAAAACATTAAGGCAATAAGAAGAATAACAGGCTGCAAATAAATAAGCAAATATATAAACCCTAAACCCTAAACCCTAATTTATATATTAACAAGAAAAAGAAAAATGGCTCCATACGAACCCCTATATACATATATACATATATATCTAGGGTTTAGGGTTTAGGGTTTAGGGTTTAGGGTTTACGTACCACTACAATATATCCAACGATAGATACAGATTCGCGGAAGCTAATCTCCTCATCAAGAGAGCCTGCATAAACCCGAATACAAACCCTAAATTAGGGTTTAGGGTTTGTTAGGGTTAACTAGGGTTTATGATTGTTGTTTAGGGTTTATAAGGGTTTATTAGATAGGGAAAAAAAAAGGGTTACATATATATATATATATATT